TCCTCCCCCTCCTCCTCCTCCTCCTCCTCCTCCTCCTTCTCCTCCTCCTCCTCCTCCTCCTCCTCCTCCTCCTTCTCGTCCTCCTCCTGTCCGCCACCTCTTGGAAGCCGCTGGAGGCCGGCGGAGGCTATCCGCCTCCTCGTCGTCCTGCTCCTCGCTCCCCCTTCCTACCAAACCTCCTCGTGCTCCTCCGTCTTCGCCTCCACCATCCTCCTCCTTCTCGTCCCCTCTCGTCCTCCTCCCAGTCCTGCTTCTCCGCCTCCTTCCACTCCCCTCCTCGTCATCCTGCTGCTTCTCCTCCTCCACCTCCCCGTTGTCCTCCTCCTTCCCCTCCTCCCCCTTCCGTCCCCGCCTCTGTCTCTGCCCGTTCCTCCTGCCTCTTCGCATTCCTCCGTTTCCTTCTCTCCCCCTCGTCGTCTCCCCCCTCCCCCAGACTCCCAAATACCTCGGGTCTGAACCCTGACGAGGGGGGAGCTGGAGGAGGGTGAGGACGGAGGTGGAGGGGGCCATTTGGGTCGTCGCCGTCGTCGGCCCTGGTCATCGTCGTCGTCGTTGTCGCCGTCGTCGCCGCCGTCGTCGTCGTCGTCGTGGTCGCCATCATCGTCGTCGTCAACATCGTCGCTGTCGTCGTCAACAACACCCGTCAGAGAGCCCGACTGGCCCAACATGCCACCAATATTGCCTCTGATTCACCGACATAATCTTCAGAATTACTCAAGGCGACCAAAGATCAGCCAAGATCCACCATCGGTGGACGAGCCCCCCCCCCGACGGAACCCCGGGAAAGCCAATCCTACAACATAGCTACCCTTCACTACGTTACCCGCGCCATGGGTAACATGGCCAAACGTCATTGGGGTTTCCTGGGGGCCCCGAGACCCAACGAAAACCTCAAACACGCCCCGCAAAAGCCCACATATTGCCGCGCAACAACTCCCAAAAAACCTCTGACAGCCCATGCCGAACCCCACAAGACCCTCAAGGGACCACCTTGCGAACCCCTCCCCCCGTCCAAAAGAAAAAACAACGAGGCGCCCGAGACGCTCGACACGTCAAGTGTTCACAAACTATGCGTTATGCACTTTGCGTGTTATGCGTCGGCTCCCCGCAAATTGAATGGCGACCGCGGGACAGCTGACGCGTCCCGGGCCAACCCAACAAAACTCAATAGACCTCTCTAGGGTCGGCGGCAGAGGCAGCAGCCTTTAGATTGCGAGGAGCCCTCGGGCGAGAGCGCCGTTCATATGTTTTGGGAGCTCTCTGGCCAAGGCATCTCGGAGAAAATTGTGAGGAGTATCGAGCGGGAGCCGTTGTCGTCGCAGCTGGGCTTTCATCAACTTGAGTGACGTTCGGCCGTGCCTAAGTTCGGAGGCCTCTCCGGCCAAGGCGCGTCAGCGTAAATTACGAAGCGGTATCGAGCGGGAGCCGTTGTCGTCCAGACGGGCCTTCACAAACTTGAGTGGCTTGCGAGGAAGTCTCGAGCGAGAGGGCTGTTCCTGAGTTTGGGGGCCTCTCTGGCCAGGGCGTCCTGGAATAAATTGCGAGGACGTATCGGGCGGGAGCCATTGTTGTCGTAGCTAAGCCTTCAAGGGGGCACATTTGGAACCAAGATCGCGCTCGACCGGGAGCCTGGCTTTCAAAGACAACGCAGCCAGCGTCGAGGCGAGAGCGACCAGGACCGTTTCCAGAGATCAGAAGCAATCATTCCCCTGGAAATGGACATTCGACGACGACGACGACGATGACGACGACGACGACGACAACGGAGGCGGCGGCGGCGGGTGCTGCGGCGGCAGTGGCGGCGGCGGCGGCACGGCGGCGGCGACACGGCGGCGGCGACACGGCGGCGGCGGCGGCGGACGACAGATGACCAACGACGCCGACGCTGACATCTGCCCCCCTCCCAGGGAGGCAGGGTCAGGCATCATCGACTCGAGAAATCCGGTCGGATCAGGATGTGCACCGGATCGGGCAGCATCGGCAAGGCGTCCGAACCGAAGCAGACACGCCGCGTCAGGATGCACTGTGGCGCCAGGCGAGCATCGGGCCGCGCCGGATCACGCCGGGACATCAAAGCCGAACCGGATCGGGCCGGCCAACAATTGATACCGAACCGGTCCGACCAGATCGAATCCAAACATCCGCCAATATGTTTTTTTGAAATCTGCGGCCCCAAAGGTCGAAACCATTTTCTCTGGGGGTAGTTTTTCGCCCCGGCCCCATTTTCGATAGCCCTGGGGCCCAGAACAGTTCAGAGAAGGCTCCCGAGAGCCGAAATCTAGGAAAAACGCCGATGGAAAAATCAGATCGTCGGGTATCTGGGAACGGGCAACTTCGACTCCCAGAGAGCTCGTCCCATTCCCCAGGCTCTGTTTTTTCGACCCGACTTCGCTGTTGACGGTCCTGGGGGCGACTGGCGAGAGCCCCCAGAAGCCGAAAACTACCAAAAGCCTTCCGTCTCGATTCTTTCACGGCGAGAGCATGTCTGGGGAATGGGCCCCGAAAAGCGGGAGGCGGGGCGGGGCGGGCGCCCTTTCTCGTCACGCCGCGAGGGGTGGGCTGGCCGCCGCCGCCGCGAGCCCGCGGAGGGCGTCGCCAGCAGCGTCGCACACCAGCACCTAGCATGTCGTCGCACGGTCGTCCGGACGGAGGACGTCCGACGTCTCCCGTCCGTCATTCGTCACTCGTCCCCCAAAACCCCTCGCGTCGTTGAAAAAAAACACGACGGAAGGTTTTTGCAATTTTCGATCTCTGGGGGTCCTCGCCGGGCCCTGGTCGAAAACGATTCAAGAGGAGAAGGTACCCCCGGGAATAGGTCCAGACCTCTGGGGGCCCGTGTTATAAAAAAACGCGACGTCGGGGGTCTGGGTCGCACGTCTTTTACAGATCTCTGACGATCTGATGTTGCTCAGTCTGGGCGCTTTTCCTCTATGTCGGCCTTCAGGGCCGCGGGGCCACCAAAAACGGATCCGGGACGAAGGGCTGGCCCTAGCGAAACGGGCAGGACCTGTGGGGCTGCGGATTGAAAAATCAGATTGGCGGATGTCTGGGGGCATTTCAACTGTTTCAAACTGGGCGTTTCTGCTCCGCCTTGGGCACTGGGGCCTTCACAGATCGATCCGGCTGGGAGAATGCAATGGAAATATGGGGTGTAAGGATCCAGTCGTGATTTTCCGCGATGCCGTAATTTGCTCGCGACGTCGGATCTCAAGGTCCATGATTCGTCATTCGTCGTCGTTGTCGTCCGCGATGCGTCGTCGTCAGTCGTCGGTCGTCCGACGTCGTCGTGTGTCGTAGTTCGTTAGTCATTGCTCGCCATAATCCGTGGGCCGTCGTCATCTCCGCCGCAGATCTTGGTCAGAGCATGCAACAAGGGAGGTCTAGGGGGGTCGTCGTCATCCGTCGTCGTCGTCGTTGTGGTCGTCGTGGATGTCGCCGAGGTAGGTCTAGGGGGGTCGTCGTCATCCGTCGTCGTCGTCGTTGTGGTCGTCGTGGATGTCGCCGAGGTCGTCGTCGTCGCTGTCGTCGTCGTCGGTCGCCTGTTGTCGGTTGTCCGTCGTCGTCGCCGCCGCCTCCTCCCTCCTGCCCCAGGCTCCCGGAATTCCTGGAATAGGATAAGGATGAGGAGGGAGGAGGACTAGGAGGAACGGCTGTGAAGATGCAACTTCTGAGATAGGCGCTGATATTTTCCGTATGTCGCCTGAAACTCAAGGACCCTGGGGGCCGCGATGTTTACGGATAAGAAACAAGTGAGACGAGGGGCAAACACTGGGCTATCCAGCACTCTCGCTTTCACACTGGTTCTAAAATTATGTTGCCCATTGTCGATCAAGAAGCACAAACACGGAGGGCACGGCAGCGTGCTAACAATCAAAACTCCCAGGTCCCGCAGCGGGCGAAATCCGCCGTCTCAGAAACAACAGACAGCAGCGCAAACAGCTTGCAAAGGAAAAATAAGCAGGCAGCCGATGGGCGTCGTAATCTGGAGAAGCATAGTAGGCTCACGATATCAATATCTGCCCACTGCAGGAATACATCAAACCATGTACTCCCAGTCGGTCGTCCACGCACTCAGCATCGCATTCGAGTCGTGGTCGCTCTTAGGCGGGGTGTCTTGGTGATACATGATAACTCCATCCATCGACTTCCTGATCTGCGATCCATCCATCCGTTTAGTTAGCGCATCGGCTAGCATATATTTAGTCGGACACCGAGCCAAAGGCACATTTGATTTAGTAGCTGCGGCAACTTCTTCCACAATCTCGTCCTCCATGAGTTCTCGTAGTCCGACCAAATCCAAAACCAATCTACGTTCAGCTGGAAGCTTAACAACTCCTTCTCGGTGAATGGTGTCGTATAAAGAAGCACAGTCCGTCACATACTGAATCGGGCATAAAGTAGGATCGATGCTGTCGATACTCGTCTTCGGAAATAAAATATTAAGAACTGAAGCACGCATAACAATAGCTGCTCCCATAGCATCCACTGCACTCATAGTCTCTGCTGCAAATGTGCTTCGGCATACCCTTCGATTTGTAGCTGACCTCCAGTCAACCAAAGCTGCCTTGCCTTCTCCGTCTTGGATGATCCTCTTTTCGGCCACGAATAATAGGAATCCCGCCTGGCTCTTAGTTTTGCGCCTCTTCGGAGCCTCCGAAGCGTAGGCGGTGCGCATGCGGCGTCGACACCGCCAGGCGGCACCGGCTACCTCGTCGTCTGGCTCGTCCACGTTGGCCCACGCAGCGTCATAAAACGCTAGAATGCAGAGCTCGCCCTGCCACTTCGGGATCGTGATGGCGGTCTCATTGTAACGCTGGGCCTCGGACACAATGCGATTCGTCTCGATCAGGTCGGCCACCGTCGGTGACTTCTGCACTCTCTGAGCCATCGAAACTCCCGCAGCTAAGTCTGGTCGAGTTTGCGTAGCGAGCCAACCCAAACTGCCAATCAAGCTCCGGTTCTCGGCGATCTCGATCTCAGTGGCAGGGCATCCTAGATCTCGTTTGCGCTCCTTGGTCAACTCGAGCGGTTTTAGCTTCTCGGCGAATACCGACTGGCTCAGTCGAATTGCTCCGTCTGAACGCTGAACGACACCCTTAGCGCAAAGAAATGAAATCTAGCCCTTGCCAACCTCCGAACGGAAACAGCTTCTTGATTATCTCATTGCTGGCTTGAGTACTGGAAGCAATAAGTAAATCATCCACGTGAACACGCACAATAGCTTGCAGAGTTCCGTCTGAACCGTACCCCACAAATAAAGCGGGATCCACCAAGCTTTGAACTAAGTGTAACTTGTGGCCATCCTTGCTCACGAGCTCAACCTTAAGCAGCGCTTTCTTGAGAGTAGCCCACCACTGTTGTGGGGCAGTCGCCAGTCCGAAAATGCCCTTGGCGGTGCGTAATACTTGTCCTGGTTGAAGTCCTGGTAGACCTTGGGGCGGCTGCTCCATGAAAAGAAGTTTGTCTCTGGACTGCTCTTCTCCCTGCATGAACGCGGACATGACGTCGGCGCGCGCCGGGCTCCAGTCGAAACGCGCCGCCATGATAGAGAACAGTAGCGAACTGGTTCGCGTCACTGTAGGAGCTTCTGTCCGTAGAGCTCCTGTCTGTAGATCTGGATCACGATGTCCTCCAGCGCATAGTCGAGCCTTGGCCTTCACCAGCACGGGGTTAGCTTCTGTGCGGATATTGACATTCTTGTCGCGGAACACGAAGCGAGACGGCAGGAAGCGGCAGCTGTCATTATCGTTCTGGGCTTTCTGAGATTCCTCCAGTGAAAGCGCCTCCACGGAACCGAACTTCTTCCATTCCTCCCAGTGCTCGGCGATGGCTTTTCGGTAGAGTGGCTTGTGTTCCTCGGGGATGTCCTTCCAAGCGATCTCTTTGTCTTGAAGCTTCTTTCTGAGCCTTTCGCTCTGAGCTCGAGCTCCACGAAGCATTGCTGCGAAGCTGGAGTTGGTGGTAGTGCCCTGGTCGCTGTCATCGGTGATGCTGACGATGTAAGGCTGCCCCGCTTGTCGAGCGGTTTGTCGTCCAGCGATGCGGTGGGCAGCTTCTTCTTGCTGTGGACTCCCGCGAACGCAATGTGGCATGTCATCGAGGGGACTGTAGACTGCTCGGCGTCGCTGAAACTCCTCGAGGTTCCAGTCCTCGTAGTTGGGTACAGGGTTATCCTGTACTTGCCCAGGTGTCTGTGTTGAAATCGGGGTAGGCGATGATGAGGGTGCGTCAGCTTGACCAGATGGGAGCTCCTCTGCAGGTGAGAGCTCAACATCATCACGAACTCCTGATGCATCCTCGGCGGGGGGCCCTGCAGCGTCCGCCTCCATCTCCACAACTTGTTTTTCTTATGCTGCTGGCGGTGGTTGTTATCCTCGAAAATCTTCGTACTCCATATCGGCGCTGGCGTCTGTGTCACGGCTTATCCGCTGAAGCTGGTCGAAGGCTTCGCCATGCTGATCGTCTATTCCCGGCCACCAGACTTCTTCAGTAGTAACTGGCCGAATGTGTTCTGGAGCCCAACCAGGTGCCCTTCTTGATCGAGCCCTTCTTGAGCTGGCGGTCGTAGAAACAGAAGTAACCTTGCACGCGGATGGGCGTGCACGCGGGCACGGCCCAGTAGTGACTTGCGTAGCGTGTTATCGTTCTGCATGTCCATGAAAGCCTTGCGGGCGGCGGTCCGCATCTTCAGCTGTCGTTCCATCGGTTGTAGCTCGGCTCCTGCATGCGCTGCGTCATGGTGGGCTCCGTCCACTAGATCAGCTGGTAGTCGCGCGCTCTTGCCGAAAACCCACTGTTCCGGACTGAAGCCACATTGACGTCGTAGTGAATTCTTGGCCCCCGTGACTATGGAAGCGATGATGCGCATGTCGGACTCACCTGAGGCCGCGGTGTGCGAAATGGTTCTCTCGGCCAACTCCTTCCACCAGCCTCCTTGGCGTTCAGTCCGTCCGTGTTGCCATGCTGCTTGGCCGGCCACTGGAACGACCACGCAATGAAACTTCTCAAGCATATCCTGAAAGACCGAACCAAATCCACGCTCCAAATCCACGACTGCACTTGCTGGTAGCCCTGCCCAGCTTGTCCATATCTGAGTGAATACCTTAACCAATAATTCCGAATGATGACTATCAATCATGCCCACAACGTGAAACGTCGTACCTGAATCCACCGCCGATAAGAAATCCCATGACTGACCATCCACATCCTTGATCGTAGAACACTCCAAACCAATCTGCTCATTGAAATCGGCTGCGTGGGAGAGTCTAGCTGGTCTCGCGATTTTCTTCCGGACCTTGCTCATGCGCGTCGCGCATCGTGGTGACTTCGCGGCCTTCACTACCTCTGGTCTGCATCCTGAAAATCTCAACGATCTGGCAAGATCCTCGTTGCTGGGGTGGCCCAAGTTCTGGTGAAGTTGTCGTGGAGCTGCGAGGTCCTTGCTTGAGCACTCTGAACTTCCAGGCCCAAACTGGATGGCCTTGGCTCCGATGTCCTCTGCAACAGGCTCTGGCTTGCACCATAGCTTCATCTTCAGCTTGGCAGTGCGATCCAACTTCGGCTTGATCAAATCCCTGGTGATATCGGCCTTCTCGAAGTCCTGCACCACCGCGTCGGC